TATTTCAGCTTCTCAGCGCGCCCAATACAAGCCCAAAAGTTTATTCCAGGCCTAAAACGCGCCCAATTCAAGCCCAAAAATAGTTTCTAGGCCTAAAACGCGCCCAATTCAAGCCCAAAAATATTTTACAGGCCTAAAACGCGCCCAATTCAAGCCCAAAAATATTTGCAGGCCTAAAACGCGCCCAATACAAGCCCAAAAATTTATTCCAGGCCTAAAAACGCGCCCAATTCAAGCCCAAAAATATTTTGCAGGCCTAAAACGCGCCCAATTCAAGCCCAAAAATATTTTCGAGGCCTAAAACGCGCCCAATTCAAGCCCAAAAATATTTTCGAGGCCTAAACGCGCCCAATTCAAGCCCAAAAATTTATTCTAGGCCTAAAACGCGCCCATTCAAGCCCAAAAATATTTTCTAGGCCTAAAACGCGCCCCAATTCAAGCCCAAAAATATTTTACAGGCCTAAAACGCGCCCAATTGAAGCCCAAAAATTTATTCCAGGCCTAAAACGCGCCCATTCAAGCCAAAAATTTATTCCAGGCCTAAAACACGCCTAATTCAAGCCCAAAAATATTTTCGAATTTAGATGTTATTGAAGAATATAAATGCACGCGAATATTTTATAAATTATTAAAAGATTTTCATTTTTGCAATTGAATAATCAGCATTGGTGCGGTCTACACGTTTGTATAAAAATTATTGGGTAAGAATCTACTGTTATACATATATAAATACTTGCATTTGAAATACAAATCGTTTTTATTAAATTAACCTTTATACAATGAATTTACAGTTGAAAAAATGTGTTGTTCTCATTTTCTTCATTACAATTATTCTGTTGCATAGGAAAATCATAATTTGGGTGAGGAAAGTATGGATTATTGTAATTATAATTTTTATTGTAGTAATGATCGTGATTGTAATGCTGAATGTATTCAGAAGATTGTTGATGGTACCAAATAAGGATGAGCTGCAAGATGAGGTCCTACTGGTGGTGTGGTAGTCAGATTCTGAGATGATTGATTCGTTAATGGAGCTTTCGTAGTTGTTGATGATGGTGGTGTTGAATTTTTTGTTTTTTTGCTGCTGATAATGACGGTGATGCTGAACTATCTACTGATATATCTGATGCTAATGATGAACTAGCAGTTGGGTTAGGTATTTCTTCTGATGAGTTTGATAATTTTTTGGCAACTGAAAATATTAATTGTATAATAAGAGTAAGTATTAATATAATGTTATAATATTGAATTATCTCATTGATGCAGATACTTGACAATATTTTGTTTTACCTTTTTTCTTTTTGGTCTTGGACTGTTCGAATCATTGCTTATTTCTTCTTTGTCGGAATTTTCTTTTTCTTCTGATGCTTTTTTACTGCGTAAATATTGAATTCTATGATTAACTGTTTTATTATAATATTTTGTGTCAATCACTATGTTGAAACGATTTTTCATATAACCTGTATAGTATAAATAAAATCGTACATTTCTATAATTCTTTATGGAAAAATTTTTGTTCTATTATTAACAATAAGGTAGATTACCGATCACTGGCGGTGCGAATTTAGGAAATGTGATCAGTCAGTGGGCAGCAGAACCGCGCGCGCGCGAAGGCGCGTCGCCGCCAGGCAGCCAGCTGTCACTGAAAAGCCGAAGAAAGGCAGTAGGAGGGGCGCAGGCACACCAGGAGGCGATTCTAGAAGCGCGCGTCTTCAGAAAAAGTAGTTTGGAGAGAATGCAAGCTGTAAGGTAGAAAAAGGGGAGTGAGTCGAGGTGATGAAAACCGAGGTCTGCAAGCAAAAAGTATTAACGAAACGCGTACCTTTCGGAGGAGGCGGGTGGGCGCAGGATAGTGTGTTACTAGGCGTGGAGAAATAAGCGGCAGGCGGTCACAGCGACAGAGTCCAGGAAGGCGAACGAAAAAGGAAAACAAGAAGGAGGAGAACGACGGGACTGCATGCAGAAAGGAATAGGCGGGAGGAAGACTGTAAGAGAACGACGAGCAGGACGGAATACCGAGAGGAGTAGAGGAGAGGCCGGATGAAGAGATGGAGGACTGGAAAAACGAGTGTGACGTAGGGCCATGCAAGCACGGGGACTAGACGAGGGGAGAGATGGAAAAAGCCTGACGGTAGAAACACAGTGGTGAGCGGGTTGAGACGAAAAAAGGTGATTGGAGCGAAAAAACGAGTTGTAAACAGGTAATAAACAGAGTGGGGTAACAAATTAATAACACTTCAGAACGCACCTACCATAACGTTGACATTAACCAGAACAATCATGTTTATCATTCACCGTTTAAACTCTCACTTCTTGCCTTATGCATATCTTTTATTAATATAATATGCATGAATTAAACTACATCCTAATCTCATTCGAAAGTTTTATATCATTTATATGAAAGAACCATGTAATCCACAATAAAATATGAATTATATTCGTTACATCATATTTTTAATAATTAAGAAGATTATTAACTGTTAAAAAATATTGTTGTGCTGTAGCAAAGCTATGTTAAATAGTTAGATATAATTTTATGACTGTCACAAAATATTTTTTCACGGTTAAGAAGCCTCTTTTATTATTACAAATCTCTTCTATCAGTGTGTACACTTACTTTTGGATCTCCATTCTCTGCAGACGCAATTTTTGCAATTTTCACAAGAATCCAAAGTATCCATATTCGTTTTTTCTGAAGGTTCACTTGTTATGTTGACAAACTCTGAATAAGTTCATTAGCATCTGAGGTGTTTTTATTTTGCGTCACAACTTTGCGCTTTTTTTGCCTGCTGAATTTTCCTACGTTCAGCCATGATTTGTATCTTCAGTTCTTTCTTCTGAATTTTTCCTTTTTGATTAACGATAAGACTTTCAAGATAATCTTTGTTTTCTACAAAATATAATAAAATATTTCATTCCTATTTGATAATAGAAAATGTATTATTAATAAACGTAGTTTTCGACATACACTATATTTTAATAATTTCAATTATAATTTTCGTTCTTAAAATTCAAATATTCACTGAACTATTTCACTTCAACTGTATGTACTTCACTCAATGCTAGCATCAAACTGAATTAACGAACAAAAAATCTATGCTGTCCAGAGTAGCAGAAATAAAAGAAAATACTTATTTTTTAAGGAAGGGATGGTGGATTTGTCTGAAAAGAAATGATGGAAAATCCAAAAACCGCCATAAACGTACTTAGGGAATAACAGCATATGTTTTGTATTTACAGAGAAGATTAAAAAATATATTGTTTGTCGTACGTATTAAAAAGTATCATTACAACTGAAAAGTATATAAAGTGGATGTACATGCTACGATTGTATATTTCACACCTACGAACGAACAGTAGACTTGCTCAAACCACGTTTACAATTTCCGTAAACACGTGATTTAAGATAGTCTAATTGTCTTTCCCAGATCTGAATATTATTTTTCGTTATACCTGTGCAAAAAATTCAATCATTCTTAAATGAAAAAAATGAAGTTTTCGCGCGGGCCTGATGAAAATATTATTCTCTTACCAATTACGCAAAGATATAAGTACGTGTTATGATTTATAATACAACTTATATTTTATTTAAATAAATCTTTCATGCGAATATAGTACAATAGACGTAATGTTTAATTTTTTTATACTTACTGCTGATTTGGAGGATTTTTGCATCATACAAAGTTGTTGATCCACCATCTATCCAAGGTAGTTCACCCTTCCATCCTACTTTAATAAATTGCGGTTCTAAAACTTTGGAAATATCACTAATATTCACAACAGAAACTTCACTACTTTCTACCCCAAAATACTAACACCCATGATGATTTCTTTTGTTTCATGATCGTTGTAGTTTACGTTATAAGAAAATATAGAAATAGCGGATACACGTCATAATTGTTGGTGACAAACTTTTCGACAGATAATATAAAGATTTGGGTTCATTGAGGAACTGTATACAATAAAATACCGTAAAGGTTCGTCAACGTTCGGTATAGTTCGAGAGCAATAAAAATTCAGGTAAAAACTTATTATTTTCATGTATCACTATTAATGGTTACCAACAAAAGACTCAGTGAACGGAAATATTTCAAATATTACAGTATACTGGATATTTCAATTAATACAGTAAATAGTTTCGAGTGAAAACAATTTAATAACGGATTGCAATGTTTACATTGTGCAAATTAAACCGTGGAAATAAAGAATCTGAAGAAACGAACCTGGAAAATCAAAGCGATAATATGGAGGTTAGTGCATCAGGTAGTGCATATAGAGCTGAAGATAATAGTGAGGAAAATATCTCTGATTATGATGAGGAGGAGTTGGAACCACAACGCCAGATCGTAGAGGTAGACAATATGAGTTCAGAAGATGAAGAATTAGAGCAAATAAACCAGGAAAATCAAAGCGATAATATGGAAGTTAGTCAATCAGGTAGTGCATCTGGAGCTGAAGGTAATAGTGACGAAAATATCTCTGATTACGATGAAGAGGAGTTGGAACCACAACGCCAGATCGTAGAGGTAGACAATATGAGTTCAGAAGATGAAGAATTAGAGCAAATAAACCAGGAAAATCAAAGCGATAATATGGAGGTTAGTCAATCAGGTAGTGCATCTGGAGCTGAAGGTAATAGTGACGAAAATATCTCTGATTACGATGAAGAGGAGTTGGAACCACAACGTCAGATCGTAGAGGTAGACAATATGAGTTCAGAAGATGAAGAATTAGAGCAAATAAACCAGGAAAATCAAAGCGATAATATGGAGGTTAGTCAATCAGGTAGTGCATCTGGAGCTGAAGGTAATAGTGACGAAAATATCTCTGATTACGATGAAGAGGAGTTGGAACCACAACACCAGATCGTAGAGGTAGACAATATGAGTTCAGAAGATGAAGAATTAGAGCAAATAAACCAGGAAAATCAAAGCGATAATATGGAGGTTAGTCAATCAGGTAGTGCATCTGGAGCTGAAGGTAATAGTGACGAAAATATCTCTGATTATGATGAAGAGGAGTTGGAACCACAACGCCAGATCGTAGAGGTAGACAATATGAGTTCAGAAGATGAAGAATTAGAGCAAATAAACCAGGAAAATCAAAGCGATAATATGGAGGTTAGTCCATCAGGTAGTGTATATGAAGCAAATACTTCTTATTATGATGAGAAGTTGGAACTACAACACCAGGTAGTTGAGGGAGAGGATGGAGAATTGGACTATAGTACTCAGAGAAATCTGAATGATCATATTGAATGTAACGAATTTCGTCGAAATGAGGAAAGTCACAGTCAAGCTTTTGATGAAACAGATCACAGAGCAAACTCTGAAAACAATGAACGTCCTGTTGATGCATCAACTGATGAAGAATTAGATGATGATCCTCCTCTATATGAGAATGCTCCTATCACACTATCCGAAAGTATGTTGAGCATTTTTATGTACTCTATAAAACACAATTTAAGTGGTTGTGCTCTGTCTGATTTGTTGTCAGTAATAAGTGCACACATACCACCGAATTCTCATCATAAAAAAACTATCTATTTTTTCACAAAATATTTTAACAATGACAATATTACGATGAAAAAACACTATTATTGCCCAGATTGTACAAACCGTTTGACTTCAGAGAACGCGGTTTGTGAATGTATCGCTAATGTAAATGACAGGCACGAACCGTTATATTTTATTGAACTTTCGATCATTGATCAATTACAAGCCTTACTCCTTCGTGAAGGATTTCTTGACGATTTATCACATCCCCAACATCGTCAAAAAGAAAAGATGGTAATATAGAAGATATCTACGATGGTTTGCTATATAAAGAGCACATGAAAGAAAATAATCCTGATTCTGAGGAATTTACAATTTCATTTATGTGGTATACTGACGGTGTACCAATATTTAAATCCGCAAAATACAGTGTTTGGCCATTTTACCTAATTATTAATGAACTGCCATATCAAAAAAGAATTTCAAAGGAAAATATGATTTTAGCAGGCCTATGGTTTGGTTCTTCTGATCCTTTAGTAAATTACTTCTTATATCCATTATATAATCAACTAGCCCAATTAAGAACTGGAATTCATGTAGAAGTTCCTAAATCTAATCGATTTAAAACTATTAAAGCATTAATTCTTTGTGGAACTTGTGATGCAATCGCAAGATCTGATTTTTTGAATCACATTCGATTCAATGGAGATTATGGCTGTACAAGATGCTTTTCCAAAGGATATACAATTAGAGAGGAAGGTGTATTTGGAAATACTCACATCTATCCATTTGAAGGGGAATTTCTTAATCGAGATCTTGTATCTTATGAAACTTTTTCAATGATGGCAAGTACAAAAAAAAACCTGTCGTTGGTGTAATGGTCCATCCATTTTGAGTAAAATAATGCCAAATTTTATTCGAGGCACAGCAATAGATGTCATGCACTGTGTTTTTCTAGGTGTAGTGAAGTATCTGACAAAATTATTGTTAGATGTTTCTTATCGCTACAAACCTTGGAGTTTATACCATGTGCAAAATATCATAGATGAACGTCTGAAGCAGATAAAACCTCCAAATTTCATTAAACGAAAGCCTAGATCGTGGGTAAAACATTCCAGTTATTTTAAAGCTAGTGAATGGCGATCTTTTTTTTTCTTCTATTCATTACCGCTCTTTGAAGATTTAATGGAAGAAAATTATTACAATCATTATTGTGAATTCGTCTATGGTATATATATATTAAATCAAAAATCAATAAGTAATGAATCTCTCAACATGAGCAGGCAACTTTTAACATCATTGTTGCAAAATTTCAATCTCTATATGATTCACAATTTGCAACTTTCAACCTTCACACCCTCCAACATTTACCCGACGTCGTTCAAGATCTAGGCCCACTATGGGTAACGTCTTGTTTTCCTTTCGAAGATTTATTAGGTAAGATCAAAAATTTCGTTCATGGAACGCGATATATTGGACTACAAATATGTACAAAAATTATTAATTACTTATCAGTTGAAACAAAATTAAAGAAGTTACCAAGAGAAAGTCATGTAGCAAAATTGTGTAATAAACTGAGAACAGTAGGTAAACGCACGTGTATAGAACGGCGAATCGGCAACAATACTTACGTACTTGGGAGAATGTGGTTATTAGAAGAAACTGCAGAAAGCCGAAACCTTCGATCGATACTTACAAACGTTCATCAAAATATAAACTCTACTTGTAAGATATTTAAATTTTACCGTTTGAAAATTAATAATCAATATGTTTACTCCAAATTATATAATAGGAAAACATCATTTATTTCTTACTGTGTTAAGATTCATAGCAATGCACATTCAAAAGTAGGTTTTATTAAGTATTTTGTAAAGGTATGTCATTGTAGAGTAAGTAAATGTGAATTAAACTGTGCTCAAGCTAAATTTTATGCATGTTTTAATGAAGCAGTTGTAGACACGTCGTTTCATTTCAAAACTTCACTTCATGTGATGCAACCAAATATAAATGGACATGATTCAAGCTACAATGTTACAAATAAGACAATACCGTATTTATATAAATTGTAGCGGTAAATTCTTCAGATATATTTGTTAATATCAATTCAATTGTAACCGTTTGTTTTGTTATAAACATTAACAGTAATATTTATATCGGAGAACCGAATAATATTAATGAATATTGTGAATAAAAGTATAATGCTTAAGAAAAAATTAATATCCAATAAAGAATTATGAAATTACAAGATTTTGATTCTTGTTCATTTACTTCTTATCATATTACCAACAAACACTTTTGAAAAAAATGTACAATCGATTATTGTTGTATAAAGGTTAATTTAATAAAAAGGATTTGTATTTAAAATGTAAGTATTTATATATGTATAACAGTAGATTCTTACCCAATAATTTTTATAACAAACGTGTAGACGCACCAATGCTGATTATTTAATTGCAAAAATGAAAATCTTTTAATAATTTATAAAATATTCGCGTGCATTTATATTCTTCAATAAAATCTAAATTTCGAAAATATTTTTGGGCTTGAATTAGGCGTGTTTTAGGCCTGGAATAAATTTTTGGGCTTGAATTGGGCGCGTTTTAGGCCTGGAATAAATTTTTGGGCTTGAATTGGGCGCGTTTTAGGCCTGTAAAATATTTTTGGGCTTGAATTGGGCGCGTTTTAGGCCTAGAAAATATTTTTGGGCTTGAATTGGGCGCGTTTTAGGCCTAGAATAAATTTTTGGGCTTGAATTGGGCGCGTTTTAGGCCTCGTAAATATTTTTGGGCTTGAATTGGGCGCGTTTTAGGCCTCGAAAATATTTTTGGGCTTGAATTGGGCGCGTTTTAGGCCTGCAAAATATTTTTGGGCTTGAATTGGGGCGTGCTTTAGGCCTGCAAAATATTTTTGGGCTTGAATTGGGCGTGCTTTAGGCCTGGAAAATGTTTTTGGGCTTCAATTGGGCTCCTTAAAAATTTAGGCCTGTATTGGGCTTGTTTTGGGGCGCTGAAAATTTCTCTAAGTCAAGATTGGACTTCAATTGGGCCTGTATTGGGCTTATTTTTCATTTTGGGCGTGGTTTTGGGCTCGTTTTGGGCCTATTTATTTTTACTCGGGTCACAAACGTTTTAAAGTAAAAATAATCAACAAAATAAAAAGATTTCAAAATGTTTAGTGATCCACACATTATTTAATTTAAAATGATTATCCAAACGTTTCTAATTAATACAAAATTATTTTTGTTCTCCTAAAATATTCAAAATCTTTGAATGCAAGTGCATAATATTCAACACAGTACTTTTGGAATGAGTGCAACGTCGTAAGTAAATAGACAAGTTCACCCAAGCGTGGACGGCTTAGTAATCGCGATGGCACACCTGTGGAGCAAATTTACGAAATGTTTACGAGCGTCTGAGGGGCGTTCTCCCTACTTGTTTCCTCTCTCACTCTTTTACACCCTTCCAGGACCAGAATGCCGCGTCATTCGGTATTATTACATCGTCGGTATCACCATTTCATGAAGGTGCTGGCATCGGGGATTCTCTGGCAAAACCCACGCTGGTTCTATCTTCCTAGCAGTTTCTTTAGGCAATGTGGTGTAGATGCGACCACCCTTTTACGCTTAGTAAACTCCTTCCTTCCTTTATTATCTCTTTCTACTTCCTCACGACGTCCATACTCTCTTCTAGCCCACCATTTTCACCTCCCTTGAGTTATTAATGTGCCCAATTACATCTTAAAAGCTGTGCTCCATTAATTTTCACAGCTGCTGCAACTTAATTGGGAACCTAGGCTTATAATAAACTCATTCTCACCCCCTTCTACAGTTGATATCAACATTCAAGATTTCTTTTACTTGATTATCGAAAAAAATTTTTGATGAAAACTGTCAAGTATTTTTGCTGGTGATGTTTTTTTTGATGCAATTCAATTATGTCAGATTTATTTCATGTGAGTTTAGAACAAGATTTGATGAATAAAATAAAAAAGGAAGTGCATGATTGATATCATGTAAATTTAAACACTTTAGAAAAAAGTGGATTGAAAACCAATCTCACCTTTAAAAAATAAACAACGATACATGATTCAATAGTTAATCTTGATTAAGTAGGCAGTAATGAATTTTTTTAAAATGATGTAAATAAAACAAAAACACAACAATGCTATCTTGAACTTTTCTTATCTGTATTAGACTAATGTGAATCAAGAATTGAAGCAATAAATTAAAGTGAACAGAGATGTTAAAATAATAAAAATTTTCCGTAATATTATCCTCAAGTTAACACAGTATATACATTTTCTAGGATCATACCACCCAAGTAGAGCTCGTTAGTGCAGCTATTTTACCACCCAGAAACTGGAAAAAGGATATTCTTCGGCTTCATTATCGAAAATAAAAGCTTTTGCGCGTGGCCAGGCTGAGATCGTTCCATCGGCAGTGATAGAGTTGATACAATGACTTCTTTTGATAATTATTTTCAAAACAAGTATCCTCGATGGTAAGAACGAGGTATCTTTTCTTTATCCTTTCATTTTTTCATGAGTACCCATAGGGTGGGTAGGTGAAGCCATCCGAGATACTGGGAGCAAAAGCGTGAAACGATCGAGTTAACCGAAGCGTCTCCTTAGCAAACCGGCTTTATACGTATATTGAGGTCTCGTACGGGCCAACTTTTATGATCTTTCAAGCAGTAGACACCATCAAGTCTTTTACAAACAATGTCAGTGTCATCTGAGCTTCTTGACTTGAACAAATCTTACACTTGGTTGAGTTGAAAGAGTCTTTTAGTCTGGAGTTGTTGAAACCTGAACGTAATCGAGTAGCATAGGCTTTCAGTCACGTGTCATTGCTTACTACAGTCGATTGAAAGTAAAATACATGTGGTAGAGAATGGAAAAAACGAACAGACTCTGATGGCGATTCTAGAAATATAGAGAAAGCGAAAAAGGGTGTAAGAATGGAGAGCAATGATCCGTGAACCTCCCGCAAGACGTAATGACGCGGCTCTTTTCATAGATTGCATCGCAGGAAAAGCGCTGTGGCTGACCCGAAGGTCCTCGTCCTCATTCCCCTTTCTCTCCATTCTTTTCTGCACCCCCTGTGCTAGGAATCGATACGATGGTTCCCGGAATCCGGGTTGGATTTAGCTGGTAAAATATTACAGAAAAATAATCCCAAGTCTCTTATTACTTTAGATACTGCATTTTCTTTCTATACATCAATCGTGCTTTTTTTCGTGCCATGGATTTCATAGATTAGAGAATCACTATTTGTAGCACATCTCTCTAATTACAATCGATTTGGTTGGAGATCGAAATAGTCGGAATACGAGATAGAAGTAGAGAAGAAAAATGAACATAATGAAGGAAGGATTTTGTTCTTAGCTTGAGGCAAGACATTTGTAAACGTACTTTACAATCTACAGACTCGGAGTATTTCACCAAATGTCTTTAGGGCCATAAGATGGTTTTTTTTATTGCCAGTGGAGCTTATAAAGATGGTTTTTTTAATAAGACTGATAGAATCAAAAACGCTCTTTGTAGACTTAAAATGCAGGACATGATCTGGTAGCAATAAAATACTTTAATGAAACAATACAAACAAAGTGAAAAGAAGATTCTATAAGAATACAAAGAATGAATAACTTAAAACTTGCGAAAAAAGTTTCAAAATGGTTTTGATTTGATTCTATGGGATTTAAGATGGCTCTTGAAAGTCTCTTGATGTATTTAAAAATATAAAAAATAACTTATTTATTTATTTTAAATACAAATTCATTCTGAAGATGAGAAAATACTTTTCGGATTTTTTTCCTCACAACTTTTGACTTTGCGTTGACAAAGACAGCAAAAAAGAAACACAAGTAATGAAGCACTG